CTCCGTCTCGAAGCTCGCCGCGTGATCTTTATCTGATGCTAGGACAACACAAGGTGCAGGGCCCTCTTTCGTTTCCACGTAAATGACCCGCGAAGGGACCGATTCAGCGACTTTTTCACCGAGCATGAAGGCTGCAGTTGCATACTGCACGACGACGTGCTTGGTATGAGGACGCATCATTTCATATTCCGGAGTGGTTTTAATGTACTCTTCCAATAATGGAATTCCAAAGACTTTTGGATCTGGTGTATAGCGGCCCATGTCAGTGAGAATAGAGAAAATATGGGAGCTCTGAGAAAAATATTCTTTACGCCGCGAACGATCACGTGCTTTCTTCAGGAACATAGTCCCGATACCTTACTACCTACTTCCCTTTCCATTGTCCTGGAATAGATCACAGCATCGTCGTGACCTGATGACCTGCCAGTGATATATCCCCTATATTTGCCCGGTGGTAGAACAGCAGCAAGAGCAGCACCGGGTGGTCAAAATGAAATTTTCATTGCATGAGATGATGATCGATAACAGAGTTACATGTGTGGATGAAGAGGTGAAAAAATGAATCGTAGGGTAGATGAAAGTCTAAGCTTAGAAATCAGTGCTGCCCGAGATGAATATAAAATGTCATTAGCGACTGTACTGTTTCGCTGACCAAAGCAAATAGCAATTTCGTATATCATGAAAAGAGCCAGAACATAGTTGTGGTAATAGTAGTTATCTGACAGACAGTGAACTATTCAGAGAAGGTGAAAAGGTCAGCCTAAAGTACATTTAAAACAAGTATCCACATACCTTCACAAAATCAAGAACATCTGTACCATGCTGGAGGCTGTTCTAGGCGTATGATCTCATACACTTTCTTCAGCGTCTCTCTTCCCTCCTCTGTGTCAAAGCTCGCCGCGTGATCTTTATTTGAGGCTAGCACAACGCACGGTGTAGCGCCCTCCTTCGTGTCCACGTAGACCACTCGCGAGGGGACCGATTCAGCGACTTGTTCCCCAAGCAGGAAGGCTGCAGACAGATATTGCAAAAGCACATCACCATTGGTAGAAGGAGCCATAGTCTCGAATTCTGGGGTAGTTTTGACGTACTTCTCGAATAGTGGAATGCCGAAGACTTTCGGATCTGGAGTATAGCGGCCCATGAGAGTGAGGAGTGACTGTATGTCAACTCTGGGAAAGAGTCGCTTTACGGCACGTGCTTTCTTCAGGATCATAGTACGTACTTACCCTTTCCATTGTCCTGGAATAGATCATAGCATCGTTATGACCTGATGGCGTGATATATCCCCCTACATTCGACCGGTAGCAGAACAGCAGCAAGAGCGGCACCGGGTGATCATAAAATGAAATTTCCATTGTATGATATGATCATCGATAACAGAGTTACTTGTATGTGGATGAAGAGGTGAAAAAATGGATCGTAGGGTACTACAGGAGCAGAGTCTAAGCTTTAAAAATCAGCACTGCCTGAAATGATGATAAAATGTCATTATCGACTGTATTGTTTCGCTGACCAAAGCAAATAGTAATTTCGTATATCATGAAAAGAGCTAGAACATAGTTGATGCAACGGCTGTTATCCCTAAAGACGGAGAGCTATTTAGAGAAGGTCAGCCTGAAGTCATTTGAAACGAGGATCCACATACCTTCGGAAAATCAAGTACGTCTGTACCACGCCGGAGACTGTTCTAGGCGTATGATCTCATACACTTTCTTCAACGTCTCTCTTCCCTCCTTTGTGCCAAAGCTCGCCGCATGATCTTTATTTGAGGCTAACACAACGCACGGTGTAGGACCCTCCTTCGTTTTCACGTAGACCACTCGCGAGGGGACCGATTCAGCGACTCGTTCCCCTAACAGGAAAGCTGCAGACAGATATTGCAAAAGCACGTCACCATTGGTAGAAGGAGCCATCGTTTCAAATTCTGGGGTCGAAGTAACATGTTGCTCAAGTAGTGGAATGCCGAAGACTTTCGGATCTGGTGTATAGCGACCCATAGTGGTCGAGATTGGCTCTTTCAAGGCAGACGAATAAAGGTGATATCCTCTTGTTCAAGTTGTGGTTGGGTTTGATTCAAAATTTACGCGAGACTGACTAGTGCTTCGTGCACGTGCGAATTATTATACGGGCTGGTTGAGTCCTGTTGAGTCCGAATGTGATTCCTATGCAGTGTTCCCTAGTGTTCCAATATGAGACGATTTCGATGATGAACTGCAGCGTGGTGGTGGCCACTGGTCAAAGAAAAGATCCGGCCCGTAATGGCCGCGACAGTTGTACCTGATTTGAACAGGGTCAAAGCGTATCTTACTGAACGTCTCTGGTCTGAGAAAGGTCCTTGTGATTGCCATTGGTAATTTACATCTTTGCAAGACTCTCATGAGCCTTCGCATATGGTACACTTGTGCTTGTGCTTTTGCCCTCATAGTAAGCTTACTCTCTGTTCTGATCTGATACTGTACTGATACTCTTTCGTGCTCAACGATAGAATTCACCAGCGCTAGTGAGGCGGCGGAGTATTCAATTTCTAGCGCCGTACGTAGTGATTGGCAGAATTGGGTGGATGTGAAATATTTTGTGTGACGTGTGGAAAGATGTTCGTCATGGGGGATTTGTTCCAACTGCCGCGAGGAATTACTGAGGGAATTGTTCAAGATGTCTCGGTGGTGAGTGGTACGCGTACTTCCTGGAACACCCTCATACACCCTACGCCTCCTCAAATTCTCCTCTGCGTTCATGATGTCTTAATCCCCTTTGTCAGTCATCATTCAAGACTCGAATGAACTGAACTGTTTTACACGAAGATAATTATGGGAGCTTATGGAATTGCATCAACTACCCTTTCGCGCCGGTGTAATCATACTCAACTGTTGAACGGCGGCAATGTATTCAAGTAGCCAAAAGTGAGTGAGCGAATAATACCGCCGATGAGAGAAGTAAAAAAGGGGGAAGAGAAAAGGGCGGGTAAGGGGCAAGGAGACAAGGGGGGAAAAATACCCCTGAGGTGTCCAAAATCCGTCTGCGACATCTACTGAGCCAGGAGATCAATGTACGACTAGAAAGGGGAGCTATTTGTCTCATATTGCATCGAGAGTATAAGAACCCGCCTGCTCCTCCGATAGTTCCCAATTCTTCACCGCAATCATCCAAACCTACCTTTTTATTAACCAACTGGTCAATCATGTCCACCACATCCATTGAGCATGGCGACCACAACTCCGCATCTTTCAAAGCAGAATATCGTGCTTATATGAAACAGGCATGGTCCGACGACTTCATCGAAAGACGACAGGCGAAGTTTTTAGACTACTTCTTCGACGAGTGTAATAACAGAGGGTAAGACTTGGTACTTTTATAAAGCCGATCCCTAATTGACCTCATCAAATCAGTTTGCGTGGCTATGACAAAATGCGGCTTCATTCCATATTCATGCTGTTCATAAAAGAACACATGCAAAAAACGCAACTTGAGTTTGAAAAACTGGTTAGAGGGAAACGTATAAACGAGGGCTTCGCAGCCGACGAGAAGGTCTGGGTACGGTTCAGGATAGAGGTTAGCCCCTTTTTTGTGTTTACAATCTGCAAGCTGTCTAATGCCGCCCTTCAGTCATTCCCCAAAGTGCAGCCGCAACCCCCCCTTCCCTTTGAATATATCATGAGGCCGCCACCGCGAATTAATTGGGTCCCTGCACGTCTACGCTCAATTACGCCTCACACCGCCGAAATCATCACTCATCAGATACCCGTGTCACCCTCAAAAGTCAAGCCACAGGTTCGGCCCCAGATTCTTTTGAATTCTCACAAGGCGAATGTACACCCATCTCAGAGGAAACAACAATGCGAATCGTTGTTGAAAGATGTGTTGGTATCTAATGCCTATAAAATCAAAAGCAGATTGAGTGTTGGGAGCATGTCGCACAAGGAATCGGCGAACGTTATTATTTATACCACATCGTCCAAGTAGAAATTATTTATCATGCTTCTCACATACCTTAAATATGTTGCTTTTTTGAAGAAAACTACCTTGCGCGATCCATCCCCGTACACGTCGTACATCTTGGCTGTGACTATGTCTTGAATATAATCACCTGGTAAAGACCTGCACAGTAGGATTGGTTCAAATGTTCTAAGGCTCGTTACATCTCATGGTTCACGACACGTCGAGGCAGAATGTATTTATATTCAAATTCTTGCTACTGCGTCATACAAGAGCCTCAGAGAAGAGGGGTAAGTACACTGATTCAGAAGAGGGAATGCTACTAATTCGGAAAGAGTGATCGGCCCCATGGTACGGAGGGGCCAAGTGGAACGGGGCATTTCGTAGGTCAGGGTTTTAATGTGCAGCTCAATAAACCTGATCACAACTTTCAAGTTATGCCCTCCTATATGTTCTAAATTCTCCCTACCTGTAGTCGAAGTTTTGGAACACACAGTGCAGTAATAGTCGTGCAACAGTTGGTTATCAGAAAAAGTGGATTTTTATTATTTCCCGCCGCACCGTGTTTGCTGGAGCCTGGCGCGCAAGTTCAATCACAGAGTAACATGTATTGTGTGTAGGATGAATCCGAGTCGGTCGCAGTCCCAGGCTAAGCGTTGTGTAAAGAGAGACTATCAGCATCGCTCAAGATGATTGTAGAATTTCATTACCAAGATGTATCTACTACTAAGCGCGACTGTACCATATTTGGAGTCTCCTTCATCCCCGAAACCTCATATACTTTTATCCTATCCTATCCTTTCTTCAACAACGCATAATCTTCCGATTTGAACGCCTCTGCGTGAGCTGAGAGCTCTATCCCATCAGCTAGCAATACACCAGCATTTGGATTCATCTTCGCAGCCGGGGGTTTCCCTGTAGTAAGGCGTCGTCTTGATGTACACATCGGGGAGGGCAATACTGAAGAACTTGGATGGCGGTACGTGGCCCATGACTTCGCAGGTTCGAGTGTGACTGTTCCACAAAGCCTCGTATAATCATGAGTAAAATGAATTACAATAACCAGCAGCATGGCGCAGTGGTAGCGCGCGGGGCCCATATTATGTCGGACACCCCGAGGTCACTTGATCGAAACAAGTTGCTGCTATGCGGTCGATCGATGCATGCTTTTGTGCTTTTTTGCTGATAGTAACCACTGGAGAGAAAAAGCCGAAAATCTTCTAATTCAAGTACTCAATCCCTCTCATGAATTCCCGACATCAATGATCTTCTTCTCACACCGTCTACTGTCAAAACCATTCAACCGTTTCTTTTCTACTGGTTCCGGAGAGGAACTTCGACGTCCGAACATTTCCCTTTCTTTCTCTCTGTCTCCAATATCCTCATCCTCGTCTGAGCTCTCGTAACCGTATCGTTTCCGTTTCAGTGGTTTCGGGGCATCCTCGTTCGTAGGTGGATACATGTTGACAGCAACGACGTTGAGAATTCAGTCTCGTTGACGACGACGCTGAGGTCTAAGTTGGATTTGGAGGCGCGTTTAGTCTTGGATTTGGATTTGGGATTGGTCACGTTGATTTTGGTTTTGGCATCTGTGGGGATTTGTTGTTGAAGCCGTTATCCTGCGTGTTCTTGGTCGTTGTCGGAGGCCTTGTACGTTCTTTTGATTGCTTGGATAGGCTTGGATTGATTTGCTGCTTCGTCGTTATGATCATCTTCCTCGAACAAACTCTCAAACAACGCCTTTATGGTACATCTTCGATGACTTGACCTTAGGTTCACGTTCCAGGATCGACTCGACCATCCACCTCTTTCTCTTTCTTGGTATTCGCCAAGCCACCTCGAACAGGTGAAGCCGGAGAGCAGTGCGGGACATCTGAATGCCTACTGTTCGTATGCACTCGTTGACAGCTTTCTTTTGCGGAGGCGTTCGAAGGTTCGGCAGAGCTTCCTCGATGAATAGTCTTCACCTTGGCCTTGGATTCCGGGTCAAGTACACCGGCTACTTCGTCGATCTCCATTTGATCATCAGTACTATCAGTATCGATATTGGGGATCTGCTCAAGTTGTTGGTCTGATGTATCTTCTTCTACTACTTCTTTGGCGCTTACACTGATTCGGACGGGGGCCTTAACGGTGAGTATATATGTCACAAATTGTACGAGGAGCGTTGATCATTACTACCTTAGATCTATGGCTACACGAACACTACCACCTTCACTTCTAATTCTAATTCCACCACAGTCTTCCACTCGCTTACAAGTAATGCCGGGTCCGACGCCGATTCCGGCACATGATAACTTTGGGATGTACATTGTCAACGTCAACAACACGTTTGGTCCTGGGGTTCAGGTGATCGCTTCGAGTCAGGACGGGAGGCAGGTAGGTTCTATGGTTGTGGGTTTCATGAGGATCAGGATACATTGTATGCGAACGAGGAACGCAGGTTTATTTTTATCTGAAGGGGTGCATCGAAGTAAGTCACTGAATGGTGCTAATAACCCCCCTTGGAGAAAGCTAAAGAATAATTTATTGGGCGGTATCGATTCAGGATGGTTTAGCCTAGGTACCGGAGCCCCATCTAGAGTCGCCGGAACGTATTTTTTCGGAAGGCTATGGTCAGATTTCGCAAAGTGGTTTGACTATTTCTCAAAACATCTTTCGGATAACTACATAAGTCAATAAACCCTGCATCCCAAGTCATTCTCGAATCTGCAAGCCCCGATGTTGCTGCAAAGACGGCATTATGTTCTCTGTGGGACGGCGAAGCTAACAGCATCGATAATGTCTTGAACGTCGATTACAACACCACTGGTCCCGGCGCGTTCTGATCTTGAGCGAGCGAGCTGGGCGATAGAACCCACCAGCGCTAGTGAAACGGCGGAGTATTCGATTTCTAGTGCCGCACGTAGCAATTGGGAGGAGTGTGTGGATGTGAAATATTTCGTGTGACGTGTGGAAAGATGTTCGTCATAGGGGATTTGTTCCAACTGCAAGGAGGAATTACTGAGGGAATTGTTCAAGATGTCTCGGTGGTGGGTGGTTCCGGAAACACTCTCGTACACCCTACACCCCCCTCAAATCCCCCTCTGCGTTCATGATGCCTGAATCCCCTTCCGCAGTAATCATTCAAGACTCTAATGAACTGAACCACTTTACGCGAAGATAAATGTGGGAGGTCATGATATTACATCAACTACTTTTTCGGGCAGGTAATCATACTCAACTGTTGAACCAGCGGGAATGCATTCAAGTAATCGTCCGCGTTAATTTGTTAGCCAAAAGTGAGTGAGCGAATAATACCGCCGATGAAAGAAATAGTAAAAAGGGAGAAGAGAAAAGGGCGGGAAAGGGACCAGGAGGGAAGGGGGAACAAATACCCCTGAGTGGTCTAAACTTCGTCTGCGACGTCCACTGAGCCAGGAGATCAATGTACGACAAGAAAGGGGAGCTATTGTCTCATATTGCATCGAGAGTATAAGAACCCGCCTGCTCCTGCGTTAGTTCTTCAATTTTACCGCAATCATCTAAACTTACTTCGTTATTATCCAATTCGCCAACTATGTCCTTTACATCCGTTGAGCATGACGACCACAACTCCGCGTCCTTCAAGGCGGAATACCGTGCTTATATGAGACAGGCATGGTCAGATGACCTTACTGAAAGACGCCAGGCAAAATTTCTGGACTATTTCTTCGCCGAATGTAATAGCAAAGGGTAAGTCCTTGTTATGCCATTAAAGCCGGTCTCTAATTGTGTCTTCATCGATTAGTTTGCGTGGATATGAAAAAATGCGGCTTCATTCCATCTTCATGTTGTTCATAAAAGAACACATGCAAAAAACGCTACCTGACTTCGAGAAGCTAGTCAGAGCGAAACGTATAAATGAAGGTTTCGCAGCCGATGAGAAAGTTTGGGTGCAGTTCAAAACAGAGGTTAGCCCCTTTCGCAGCAATGATCTGTACAGCGACTAACATTGTTTTTTAGTCATTTCCCAAAGTGCAACCGCAACCTACCATACCATTTGAGTGCATCATGAGACCGCCCCCGAGAGTGAAATGGGTTCCCGCACGCCTGATTACGGCTCACACCGCTGAAATAATCACCCACAAGGCCCTTGTGTCACCCTCAAAGGTGAAGCCACAGGCTCGCCCACAGATCCTTCTGAATTCACCCAAGGCGAATTCTCAGTCATCTCGAGGGAAAAAACAAAACGAATCGTTGTTGAGAGATGTGTTGGTATCCAATGCGATTAAAATCAAAAGGAGGTTGAGTGTTGCGAACATGTTGTCAAAGGGAGCTGCGAATGTGATCATTTATACCACGTCGTCTGCGTAGACGTACCTATCATATCTTCGTGCACACTGATCTAGTTCAAAAATTACGAATTGTGTTTTGAACAATAATGCCACTGCGTGAAATATTTCGCCCGCAATGCCATCACCCCTATGACATGCAACATATCCTCCTTCTTCATCTTCTCCATCGTTGGCAGCTTGATGCCGAGAGCATTGACACTTGAGTTTCGATCATGAAATGGATGATGTGGTCGCAGTGAGTAGGCGCTACTGGTCTAAGCTACGACAGTTCAACATTAATGCTGCTCACGTTGATTGTAAAATTTAATTAACGAAGCGTATGCGGTAAGCGCGACTGTCCCATTTTTGTTTTGTTGGGTCGGTCACATTCATCCCCAAAAACCTCATGGACCCCTTTAACAACACACAATTCCCCGATTTGACCATCTCCGCGTGAACCTTATCCGTCGCAAGCACAACACACGGCATGATACCAGACCCTACCAGACCTCGTCTCTACTAATTTCATCCGCGCGGGACATACCGCGTTGGCAATTCAGTCGGGCGCTTCACGACCTGCAATGCACCAGTATTCTGATTCGTCTTCGTGATGAGGAGACTTTTCCTCATAGTCAGGCGTTGTTTTTATGTTCAGCGGGAGGGAGCGATAGCGGAGAACCTTCAAGGCCACGGTGATGGTGATGCGTGACGACCCAGGCCCCATATGCATGAGGCGTTGAGGATGGGACACGCGACACCTCGAGATTTTTTGCGAAGAGACAGCTTCAAGACACGCGAGGATTTCCCAATGCACAGTTTCTTCCTTTTATTTGAACTGCGTAGCACTCGTTGGATTCGATTTGTGCATCCTTGTACCTTGTACTATATTCTGTATCTAGTAAACCATGTCATTATTATTCGGGTAATCCATTTACTATTATCGAAGTTCATCTCTATGTACTTCGTATTTGTAGATCGGATATATACACGTCGAACCACCTGAATGAACAGACGAAGGCATGTAGTATCTATCTGTCTATATATCCGGTATTCATCATTAGGTATCAAGCAAATTGCGCAGCTTCCATTGCAGCAATTTTATGTTGAATCATCCCCCGATGTACTCCATCTCGGGGAACGACTTTGCAGTCAAGTGAAGTCGTGCCGCTGTAATTTCAGTTGCAGTAGGGAACACACTCAATTCAGCATCACTCACTGGATCACTCCCGACCGGCGAGCTGTAGATGTCTTACCGGATTCCCGCAATTGAACAATGTCAAAACATTTGAGGACAGATACAATCGTGATCCATACTGATGCCTCCGCTAAGAATCGTCCAGGACATTCCCTTGACAGAAGTAATTTGACGGTCAGCTAAGATTTGTTCAACTTAAGATGAAGGGCTCACCTCCTTCCGAATCCAAATACATAGTCCCGAACGGGACGAGCACCACCCCCTTCTAGAAATCTGGTCGGATCGAAATCGTTTGGCGATCCTTTGCCGTGTTCGTGGCGTGAAATGCTACGTGAGTTTGCAAGAATGACAGCACCTTTCGGGATGAACATTCCCTTGTAGACATCATCCGCATGAGCACGGCGAGGGAAGCCTAACTCTATATCAGCTATGGACGACAGGAAGCATTTTGTTTCATAGTACCAGTCGGAACAATGCTCTCCCATCTTATAACCTCCTGTAGAAGTGCATTGAGGTATGGTAGGGATTTGCGGTCACTCATGGTTGGTAGCCTGGTACCTAGGACACGGTCCAATTCTTCTTGCGCTTGGGCCTGTACTTCTGGATTTCGCGCCAGTGCTTTGAAGAAAACACGAACAGTGGAGGTAGTGCTCTCTG